GTAATTTATGCTCGAAGGAAAGACATGATTTGGTTGTTAAAAAGTCTCCAGTAATGGGGCTTTTAATTACCATGCAATAGCCGTTCATTAAAAGTCATATCTCCGCCTTTACCAATGTGGCTCGTAAAAGTAACAATATGGATCAAATCCGCGGCTTAATGTTATGAAACCTATATGGCCTTCTTTTATTACCACAGAAAAATATGTGGTTTTCCGTATGCGGAAAACTCAGAGCTTGCAGGTTGGAAACCCTGAATCTAATTGGGATGGTAATGCGGGTTCAAAACTGTTTGGGAATACGAAACATTTTTTTAAATGATCTTTAAATGGCCTTTATCTGAAGGCAGGCATATGTTTTATTCAATACTTTCATAAAAATACAGCAAAGAAGTGTTCTGATTATGCCAATAAAGGCATGTAAAGTGTAAAGAGAGTGGAGATATATTTAAGTTTTCAAGACATAATGAGAGTACTGGCATATTTCGGCTATTATGCAAAAGGACGAATAAAAGTTAGCCTCTTCAACTACCTACACATCAATTGGCCTCCATTTGCTCGCAAACTTATTGGTCCAAACGATTTTGTATAACGAAAACGAATGACTAAACATTTATAGGAGCACAGCATGGCTGAAATAGACTGAAGCTTGGTTCTGACTAGTGCGAGCACCAACATCATTTAATGGACTTTGTTTTATTTCTGGGCACAACGAAACGAGTGAGTTCCTTAAGAACGATCGGTGAGTGCCCCCTACCATTGTATATTCCCGACCGAAAAACCAACAGGGCAACGGGCTCGTGGCCCGGTGAGTAGAGGCGTTGACTTCTAAACCAACAGGTCGCGAGTTCGAGGCTGGGGTGTTCCACACTTTGGGCTTGGGTATGGCTGGCTGACGATCTTATAAGCCGGAAATGTCCATTCTAGTCCCCCTTGTCTTTGTCGGTAATATCATTCTGCCTATATCATATAATTGCTGACAAAGAACGCGGTATTGCTTTTGCTCTTGCGCTGAGGGTTACTTATTCCAATAGTAGAATCTGCCTCCGGCCACTGACGAAAGTAGAATCAACTGACATGTCACACATGTTCTCATCCCGCTTTTAATTCACTATTCCTTCACAGCACAACATTTATCATTGTAGGACACCTCAATGAGAGACGGTCTTACAATTGACATTTGGCATTCAGATGTCACCCCAACCAAAACGCCTCTTAACCTTCCTGTTGTCCATAAACTCCTACGTCATTACATTCATCAGGGCCAAAACATGACGGCCACAGACAGCCAAATCATACCAGGAAAGCACGTTCGGCGGACTAATTCGCTCAATGTGTAGTACAAATACAATAGATTGGCATTCAGCTGAAGACACACAAGGCATGGGGTGCCAACATTAACAGACAACGGTCAGAAGGAAAAGGCAGCGAATCATTGAATAAAACGATTGGGATATCAGCGACGGATTCGACCCTTTACTCAAAATTCTTCTACCCTTTTTCACAAAACCCTTTTAAACATGGAGAGCCGACTAATCCCACCAAAACATCAGCCACACAACTCCGCTGATCCGGTGAGTCCTTCATTTTGGACGCGGATCTCTTGCATTTGCTGATCTTAATGCTAAGCACCTCCTGTGTCAGGATCTGCAAGCTGTGTTCTTCGCGGTCAGGTGTGTTCTGCCTGTTCTTTGGCATCCGGCTCCCTGCCGTCAGATGCGCATGCGCTTTCGCTGGATATTCAGGTCGCGATCATGGCCGCCCAGTCATCCTCTTCGTCATTCTGACCCGCTGTGACCCCGATGTGAGTTTGAACTCTTGTTAAGTATTTGTAATGTATTAGGGGGTTGGGTAGTACGCCTAGGTGCGGGTCCGACCGTACCAGCCACCGGCATCATCACCGGTCTTCTTGGCTATGTCTAGACCTCAGTTTTGGGTGGGGTAGATGCAGCGCAGGTCTTCTCTCTCGATCGTGCCATCATGACCTAATTTTGCGGCATACGTCGCAAATGGTCGGCTATGGAAATCGAACTGTCCAAGGCATGATTTGAACGCCTTACAGGGGCAATATAAGGACGATATCTAAAGATATACCCATCAATGCGTATTGCAAAAGCACATGAACAATGACGGTAGATTTGTTACATTACCTTAGGACCGCCTACTGTACTACAAACAGTTATCTTACCCCACCTACTGGCAACGCCAATGAGCGTCGATCCAAGACCATTAAGGACATTCGGGATTGTCCACTGTTAAAAAGCCAATTATTTCGGCAACGCTTTGCTAACCGTGTGATCGTTTTGCAATGCACAATTATTCTGCTTGATCTCAATATTTCGTTTTTCCATATTTGATCTCTTTCTGAATTAAAAACAAGTTTTTTTTCGATAAGGGCAATTTCACTGGTAAAACCATACCTGTAATCTTTTAAAAGTGAATCATGTTCGGAAAGGATAGGGTTTGCATGGCCATTTGAGACAGTGCACCTCTCCTCATAGCTGTCGGTTGATGTTCGTGGGTGCGTGTAGAGGCACTTTCTCATGTTCGGATACAATATACAGCACCACAGACATCATATGGGATATCAAAAAGACAAATTTATTTTTTTGATATAGCCAACCCTATCATTACGGTGTACAAGCTGAGTGGGTAAAGCGGTTGTCTGCTTATATGCGCATTTATTTGACGATTTCTCAGGATTCTTTCAATAAGTTCGGACATATTTCTGATGTTAGGGCGAATTTGTCTATGGGAACATATAAATCCTATTAAAATATGAGGTAGATGGCAGACATCTAAAACTAATCATTCACAGGAATGTGAATTTACAAAAAGATGTATGACGTTTTCATCATAAAGTTTCGACGCCTGTATCCCCGAACATTGCTATATCCTATAAGCCATGAGCGTTTTCTGCCGATCTTCTGTTACCTCGTTACACAGCTGATAGATTGTCGTATCCATAATGGGACACCCAGAGTTATTAATATGGTTTGTAGTATATGTACCCCGAAGAATGATAGAACGAAATATTTCAGATGTTATTTAGTAATGAACATTGATTTGAGTTGCGTGGCACATAATCTTTTATTGTTTGATCCGTTATTTCATCAAAAAGTTGAGTTAAAGAAAATCAGGCCCTGTTGAACGATCAGAAAATGGCCATGGTGCAAGCAAGTAATACTACAAGCAGAATGCAATCCAAACGATAAAGACACAGTACCGTACTTAAGATATGGGTACATGTTAAAAGCTAAGATATGTTTTGTCGGACATTCTTCCCCTACGTGACAACAGCAGTTGGTTCGGCACCTCACTGGGTGTCCCGTGTTATCAATGCGGTCCGTGATATATGAACCTCAGAGAATAATCACGGAACACTTGCATATTTAGGTTTAACTACAAACGTCAATGAAAAACCATTGCGATTCGAGTGTATGGTTTGGTTGAATTTGCTGATGACGGCATTTGCTCTCTCTTTTTATTAGGGTACAGACTGTAGCCCGAAATGTTAATGTTAATCTAACATTATAACCCTGACTCTTACAGTAAAACACTAACCAAAACACTAACCATATAACATGACAATAACCCTAACCCTAAAACCTTAATCCTAACCTTGACCAAAAATCCTAAATCTAACCCTGATCCATAGCCCTCAACTTGACCGTGACAATAACCCTAAATCCTAACAATAACCATAAACCCTAACCTCAACCCTAAGACCTAACCCTAAATCCAAAACTGTAACCCAAAAATCCTGAACCCAAACCCCAAGCCTGACACTAAAACCTAACCCTCACCACAAAGCCTAACCCTAAACCTTACAGTTCGACCATCGATTTCGATTATGGCCACCGTGTGCCCCAAAACAGGTGGGAGCAGGGACGGTGATTTGCGCAGGAGTTTGTAGTGCCAGTAAACTTGCACTGCATCTACCTACACTCTCTCTTCCTCCCCCCCCCCTTGATCCCGGTGTCAAGACAGAGTCAAGAAGACCGGAGACGGGGGAGGCCGCAGGTGGATGGCTCCGACAGATCCTCACCTTGGCGTTCCACCACAACCCCTGGTCGACACAACAAACAACCAGGATTCTCACCAATACAACAGCGATTTGGAGGCTGACGCGACCGAATCCGCGCTTGGGCATGCCGCCAACGCCTGGCTTGGATCCCACACTGTGGTAGGAGTGCCATAAAAGCCACACTAAAAAGAAGCCATTGCAGCCTGACTCTCAGACTACCACCAGTCAAGGAAGAGGTCCAAGTTGCCCGGTCAGTTGGCAACCATCCAAGCCACGGCTTTGAGCGCACTGTGATAGCTTCAAGCGCGTCAGATTGTTTATAGTGAGGAAAGTGCGCTGAGTTGTCGACCTCACTCTCCCTTCCCATTCCCACACCCCAGCCGCCGTCTGAGCCGGTCGGGAAACTGGAGTGGGGAACGGGCGCGGTTGCTGACACAATCGACTGACCATGCCTGCGAGCGCCACAGCACGACCTGACCTCCCGTTCACACAAACACCGGAATGTCACACAAAAGGGTTGAACGGCGTGTCTCTCACTTGCGTGAGAGTTCTGTGGAAGGTGCTGCTTCGGCCCGTCCCCGGCCTACCAGTCCGCCACTCCCCACAATACACACACAACGCGACGCACAGAGTATACCGAGATCGGGCGTCATTTAGCAGCCTTCATATCAACGACACTTGACGTGTCGGGATAGTCTCGGACCCAAGTCCCCCACGCAGCCAAAGCCGCCTGGGGACCAAGACGAGATGCACACTTCCCACTTGCGTGACAAATGGCAGTTGTGTGCATGAGGTGTGTAAGTGTTGATTTCTGGTGGGATGATGACTGTGGTGGTGGTGGTGGTGGTGGTGGTGGTGGTGGTGGTGGTGGTTGTGGTGGTGGTGGTGGTGGTGGTGGTTGTGGTGCAAGGTAGGGAGTGAGTGAATGCGTGGTGTGGCCGGCGGTTGTCTACCGCAGGTCGTCGTGGATGTGCATTTAGCCGAATAGGCCCATGCGATGCCTGAAAGTGCCAGGGCAATGTGGGCAGTTGAGACGAGCTTGGTGGGTATAGGTTGCTGCTGCAGGCACTGGTTCGACAGCCTCTGTGCGACGGATTCGCAAGTGACCGACCAGGCCGATGCGTGAGGTGAATGTGCGTGAAAAGTGTGGGAAGGTGATGTCGGCGTAGTCAGTGTCAGCTACGGAGGAGGCGGTGATTGTGGTTGTGGTGGTGGTGGTGGTGGTGGTGGTGGTGGTGGTTGTAGTGATGGGCGCGCAGGGCGACGGAGCGTGGGTGGGACTGGACATGATGGATGTGCTAGGTGTCGTGGGTGTGTCGTAGGTGCGGTCACTTCCGCTCTGGTGGATTCGCATGTGGCCGAATGGGCCCACCCTCAGTGGGGTGATCTAAGTTGACTTTGTGTAGGCGGTTCTTCTCGGCAGGCCTATGTCTGATGGCGGCGTCCTTGTCATCGAACCAGTCCTGGTGTTGTCGGGAAGCGCGACTGAGTACGACGAACCCCGTCTTCTGTACCATGTCTCGCCGTTGACACCAGCGGATCTCAACGGAGGCGTTCTCAGCAGTGGCAGCGTCGTCGGCGGCAGCAATTGGAAGGTTGTCTAGCCGTTGAGCTAGCTCACTGCTAATATGGAGATGGTGAGCGGGCAAAGACAACAAGGCAACATTCAGCTTACCTGGAGGTCGCTTGCCTTGTGGTCTCCTGCGAGGCTGTAGGCGAATGCGCATCTTCGAGATGACGAGGCGATGGTCGGTCCAACCGTCAGCACCCGCGATCGCCTTTCTCACCAGCACGTCCCTCTGATCTCGCCTCCGGACGAGGACATAGTCCAGCAGGTGCCACCGACACGACCGAGGATGCCTCCAGGTGGCCTTCTCTCGATCCGGCAGTCAGAAGAACGTGTTCGTCAGGATGAGGCGGTATTCTGCGCAGGTGCGGAGAAGCAGCAGAGCACTGTCCTTGGAGCCGCGTAGACCTTGGAGACCCAGCACTCCTCTCCAGGCAGTATGGTCTTTGCAGAAGCAACGTTGAAGTCGCCAAGGCCAATCAAATTGTCCGCCTTCGGCACAGTCGCCAAGAGAGCGTGCAGGTCCTTGTAGAATTTGTCTTTTGCGGTGGCGTCGGAGCTGCTCATCGGCGGAGCGTAGGCGCTATGGATGGTGGCGAATTTGCCCCCACCCCGTAGAGGCAGACGGAGGATCATCAGGCGATCATTAATGCCCTGCGGCAGGCTGGGCAGTCGTCCCATGATGTCGTTCCGGATGGCGAAGGCGACACCCGCGTCTCGTCGCTCTGCCCTGGGTCGACCGCTCCAAAAGAAGGTGTAGCCGGAACCCACCTCTTCCAGTTGGCCTTGCTTGGAGAAACGGGTCTCGCTGAACTCGGCGATGTCCACCTTGTAGCGCGCCAGTTCTCGTGCCACTAACGCTGTTCTCCGTTCCGGTCGGCTGCTCCTCGGATTGTCTAAAAAGTAACGAACATTCTAGGTTGCCATACGCCGTGCCTAACGCAGTAGAAACACACCTACTGATGACGGGTTTCCTTGACAAGGGAAACACACCTACTAATAACAAGTACGTGGTCAATATCAACTCTCAGTGCCTGGCTATGAACTGCGCTCTTACCCTTTTTAACCGAAAAGACGTCGTTTGCTGATTGATTAAATAAACGGCGACGTTAGCAGAATTGCGGGCGTGCTATATGCTAACTTTCACACAGATTTATTTGAGAACTCCTACGTAGATATCTTAACACCAGTTATGCCCTTGAAATACTGCGCGCTTTTAATAAGGTTAAAGATGTGTCTACTGGCTGAACGGTCGATACACGTCTCCCATATGCTTGCTGTAGACGCCGTTTAATGGGTTTACCAAGTGGCTACTTGAGTTCCTTCGTGATTCTTACAATTTAGCGCTCAGAAAAGTGTTTTGAATCGTGTAGAATAGGTCCATAATCTCTAGTTATATGGTGTGCTGCTACAGCACTTGAAAAACTAGGGGAAACTCAACATGCAACCATCATCGTTAGTTAGCAGAGAGAGCATTGTGAAAGCTTTAGAACGGGCCAGCAGAAATTCCTAAATGCTGACAGCCGGTCTCGACGTCAAAAATCCCGGTTTGACCTTGACGTGTATCCAAATATTTTGGGCAATCGCATGCATGCGACGCAAAATTTTATGCACAATTTATTTGAAAATTGGACGCTGGTATCCAAGGTACGTACGTGTCTACCACATGTTGATAAGGATTTCGCTCTGGGATTCCATATAGTTCAAATACATTTGGGGCACATCCGCTTGAGCAGGACAATTCAAATGCATTTTTTGCCCTTATTGCTATAAAACAGGAGGGCACTCTAGCAGGTGCGTGGAAAATCTACGAAAGGTTGCATAGATAAAGCCTTGTGGAGAAGTCTTTGTGGGCTACCTGGTTGTTGGCATTTTTTCAAACTAATAAAACACACGCAAAATTCTACGAGCGTAATCGTGGCTAAGGGATCTACGCACGTGAAAACCATCGATGCGTACGAGTGCGTGGGTCGCACGCTTACTGGCAGATACGCCGGCGAAGTGATGATTTTTGAGCTTGCTTGGACTGACGTCGAACATTTACTAATAAAGTCATAACTGTTGACCGCATGTGATCTTTGCGGTTCAAAATCTGCTACGTCATAGCGGATTCTGGTATATAGGCCACTCTTATCCCAAAATTACATAAGATTTTTATTGTCACCATTGAAACATTCCTGACATAGGGGGTCGCGTCCCAAAACTTCCGATTCTCACGGTTAAATCGCTCAAGTGGATTCTTTCTTCGACAGTTACGACTGGAAGATTGTGATTAACTACTGAAGTTTTGCCTCCTTCCTCTTGCCGACGTTGTAGCTAAAATGCGTTTGAACACGGCAGAGAGTCTTGGCACAATTGCACTTGCGACAAACAGGTGGCTAAGTTATCTGCATTTCTTGTGACAGGTAGATCAAGCAAGGGGAACTGGTTGTTGTTATCCGCCTCCATTATTCAATGGATGACAGAAATTTTAGAGTTCAATAAGGTCTCACATTTCTGGACGTCGTCCTTCTTGACAACGACGCTGGTTTATGCAATGCTATTCTGCCTATACATCCCGCACAGTATTGAAGATGCTGATTGAACTCGAGAGAAAGTCCTAAGACACAATGGGACGAGCGATTTCCGTAAAATGGATCGGTGTGTGACCTTTACCATCACACATGATATAAATGTTATATATCGTTTTTTTAGCATATCGGAAAGTTTACTTGTATTTTGACATCTCCGCAAATCCAACAACGCCCTGTCCAAACTGTTCAAAAATTCACTTAGTATATTTCTCTATTTTTTTCAAATAATGTGACACACTTACTTAACGACTAACAGGAGACTTGGGCAATTAACGTCGAAACTTTACAATTAAACTTGCTTATCTTTCTCAAAGAACTTATATATTCCGAATATATATATATATATATATATATATATATATAAAAGTTCAAGGGCGCTGGCCGATCTTGCTTACGGACATCACTCTTTCAGATATGCCTTAGAAGCTCTCTGTCTCGACCCCAACCAGCAGCCGCACAGCTGCTCATAATATAGGCAGTGTGGCATTGCCGACAAGGCAGACTGAAATGACCATTTCTGGCCCTCTAGCCGTCCTCAATAACGGGCTCGTGGCCAGTGGTTAGAGGCGTGAACTTCTAACTAGCAGGTCGCAAATTTGGGCCGCAGGGGTTCCACACTTCGGGGTTGGGTATGACTGGCTGACGACGGCTAAAAGGCCAGAAGTCCAATTCCTTCCTGTCTTGTCTTTGTCGGTACTGCCATAATGCCCATATACATATCTAGATATGCGAAAAGATTCAAGGTCCAGAAAATGTATCGCGCTTATTATCTCCGAGGAAGACGAAAAAGAAGAGAGGGCGAATTCATGGACCATATTGTATTCAAACTGCCGTTTCGGAAACTTCCTCGTTTCCATCATCAGAGTAATGTGTTTGTTGCGTATTCCGGTCTTGATTTTTCAGTCTTGCTGCTCGCCTCGTATTATAGCCGTACTCAATGCACGACCTTTGACCTGCAAGTTTGCCACTGACTGGCGTAGACCCCCTCCGGCCTTACCGCTGACAGGCCTGTGTGACCTTTGCTCCCTTTGGCGTCAGCGTAGTCGTGGTTAAATCAACGTGCCGCTTGGCCTCTCCCACGTCAGCCGGTGCACTGAGCAAGTGAGCAGTATTCGGCTTCGCGGACGCATTAGTGAGACAATGTTCGGCTCTGGTCTCATGACCGCTGGCCCCCAACTGTGCTCTTATACGTGAGCGTTGACTCTCGGTCCCGCGTTCTCGCTTGCATTACTTGTCCTGTCCCGGACTGATCCGAGACTTGTACGCAGCGCCTGGTAGGCGGATGTTGATCTACAGCTCGGTTGAGTGTGCCAGTCGAGGACCAACTTTCGATCACCAGTCTGGCCATCATCGTATTGGCTCGACCAATTACCGTCGCCTTCTCAGAGTCAAAATTGCGGTTCAGTTCTCGTATGTGGCTATAGACCAAAGACAGCTTGTCCTTACGGCTGAATGCGACTTGGTGTTCGTGCAATCTTGTACCGAGGCGTTTGCCCGTTTCACCAACATACCTCGCATTGCAATTTAGGCATGGTTTGCTTTAGACCACCGCCGATTGTTCTGTTGTTGGTAGCGGATCTTTGGGCATCACGATTTTCTGTCTGATGGTACATTCTAATTTATGAGCCACGCCGATCCCAAAATGTTTCAGGATTCTTGCCGTTGCCTCTGATACATTCCTCACATGGCGTATTGAGAGCCAGAACTTGAGCTTTTCTCCACTCGACCGCTCAAGATGAGGCATTTTGGGGCAATTGCGTTTGAAGGACTTCAGGTAGCCGTTGGCTTTCAAAAAGGCCTGTAAGTAATTCATCTCCTTCCTTGTCCCACTGTCGTCGCTACAGTGTGTTTGAACACGCTGAAAGAGGGTCCCGACGCAAATGCGTTTATGATTAACAGGGTGTCGCTTCGAAAGTGGAGGACGCACCTAGTATTTTTTGGCTTACGGTAAACCGTTGTTCTTATCTTCCCGTCCGTTGATTTCGTTACTTTAACGTCCAGGAACGGCAACAGATTGTAAACTACTTTTCCCATCGATAACTGCAGTCGGGAAAGATTGAGTTCAACAATGCCTTGAAAGCCTTCACCTCGCTCATCTCAATTACAATGAATGTATTGTTGACGTATCTGGCCCAGAACTTTTGGGGGAGGGGGAAGGGGGACGTGTTGAAGACCAGCTTTTCGAGACTCTGCAAAACTGCTGTAGCAATTATTCCAGACGGAGGCGAGCCCATTGGTGTCCCGTACTATTGCTCCTGGACTTGGCCGTTGAATGTTAAGAAGGTCTTAAGACACAGCCAGCGAGAGTGGATGGAGATGAGTACTGAGATCACGTCAAATAACACCATCACCTCATCCGCCTCCACTTCGAGATGTGTGAAGCGCGTCGGCAAACTTCATTGTCTACTCCGGATCCTTGGTAAGGAAATAGAGTCGTCGGTACGCCCAGTTTGACAGTCAGAAGGTTGGAGTTCCACGTAAAGAAACTATGGGACGTAGCGGCACACACTGCTTGTGAACCCTTAGTAGACAGCAGAAGCGTGTCATCGCGGTATCAATAGATTTGCGACCAACGCTTCACTTCTCGTAAGATCTGCCACCTTCCTTGGCTAGTCGATCGTATAGTTTATGCTGTTTACGAGGTTTTTAAACCTGTTGACAGTCGATGGCGCATAAGCTTCCTCGTAGATCAAGAGGTTGCCTAGTACTAAGCCTTATATATGACGACAGTCGAGCGCCCCTCCTACACTTCCTAAGTAATCTTAAAACTCAAACCCATAGTCTGCAAATGGAAAAAAACGCAAGTCAAAAATGAAAACAAATCACATTAAAAATAAATGAAGGTTATACCGCAAGAATAAGAAAATTTGGAAATATCTTATGAGAGCGACATTACAAGCAATTTACCATGCATTTGCAAGTTTGTTTAAACCAAAATATAAAACCTGAGATAAAAGACAAGTCGTCGTTAGGAAATAAAGCATTTTAAATGTTTTTTGGACATGCGTGTTAATGGAGCAATTTTCATGTTCTCTGAGCAGATCAGACGATGAACGTAGCTTTATCCGGGCTGTGGGGGCGTTCAACTTATTAGCCAGTAATTTCGCAGTTTCGAAATCGCCGTCATGTCATTCTGCACCCTGGATTGGCAGCAGTGTGCTACATTTCAGACATGGGGTTGCTTCTAAAATAAAGGCAGGTTTTTTGTCAGTTGTTATTAGAGCCCAGTAACAAGCTCAAGAATGACCGGGGAGAACAACCGCTGTTTGTTTATCTGCGCATCTCTGGTAGTCGTTTTGGTCACCCTTCTGTTATTTCATCATTACTGTTCCAATGCACGCTTGTGGCAAATACATATCATAAAACTGACAAGTATTGGAAACATGACCTTTTATTTACGACAATCACTGGATAGTTCGACGGGCAGTGTAGTCAATACCAGTATTTTATCCAAAACTCAACAACCATCGTACAAATCTGAATTAAGTTAAGTGAACGACGACGTACTGAAACAAAATATTTCGCTACCAGCGTTAACTTCGAAAGGCGAAAAGGTGGCCATTATTGTGCCCTACAGGAACCGAACGAAACATCTCTTCCGATTTCTAACTTGTATGCTGCCTTTTCTCGCTAAGCAGATGAAGCATTATGTCATAATTATCACAGAACAGGCCGGAAATCAATCATTCAATCGGGCCAAGCTATCCGATGTCGCTGTCAAGGAGATAAGAAAAAGCGCTTCCGGTGACCTATTGCATGGAATAAACTGTTTCATCTTCCACGATGTCGACAAGGTGCCAACATCCCCTTACACTGCCTACGAGTGCGGCCAAAACGTTAGGCAACCGACGACTGCATTTCGCTCTGAGAACGGAACAAAATGGTAAGAGATTTGTGGCAACGAGGATTCAACACTTTCGTATTTAATTAATTGTTCAATCAACAGATCCCTTTTTCCTAAAATCAATGAACGACTGCCGACCTTCGAGAAAAGGATAAATCTTAAAAAAAACAAATTCTGTGGACGTCGGCTAAGGGGGCAAACTATCAGTCGCGCCAACAATTATTACACTAAATGCTGATTGTTAAATTCTTGCTGGTAGAGTTGGGCAGTATTAGCTCAGTGCAACAATTTGAATTATGCCTATGACAGGAGGGGCTAACAGTAATAAAAAGTTCCACAATAGGAGCAACGTGTACTGTGTGTAAACTAATAATCAACATTTTAATTTATTTATTGAATAAGTACATTCCAATGTTTTTTAAATATTTCACGCAATGGTCAAAGTATTTGCATAGTTCATTATAAAACTTAATAAGCAAAAAGCTAACTTGTGTCATCTTAAACTGATCAGAAACGGCCACGTTTCAAGACCTGCTAAATGCTTAGTCATCTGCACAAAATGCAAATATTTTTTTAGTACTCGATAGCAATATTCAATTAAATTTCGTCTGCAAAATGCTCAA